CTAGAACTTGGACTAAGTTCTAGCATCGTGGATACAGGCCTTAAGGCCCGCGTCCACGATGCCTTGGTCCAACTTCTAGTTCCGAGAAATGTGTAGCCAATCTTGCAGCTATTCCATAGAAGCTGCAAGTTGATCGGCTAGACGTCTCTCGAAACTGGAACTCGGATCAAGCCCTAGCATCGTGGACGCGGGCCTTTACAGACGTGTAAATGCAAGCAAAGTGCGAGTTTAAACTCCACATTTTTTTGCGAGGGGTAAGTACGCGGATTAGGGACACGCGCAGCTTCGGAGAACGTTGCCCCCGCGAGTCCAAGCTCCGACAATTTTCGACAGGAATAAACGAATAACGAATTCGTGCGCTGGTTTCCCGAAAAGCCTTGACCTCTCGCGGGAGATCGGAGAATATGAAAAATGCACGCGAATCCTTTTGTATGATATTGGCTGGCTTGATATTGGCCGTCGGCAAACTCGCCAGGCAGATGATGCAACGCCGATGAAATATCAAATGTTTCACTGTAAGGTCCGAATCGTTGACACACACGGTCGAAAATTAGCGCGCGTGCATGTGCGCGCGGCGTGCGATCGTGCGCGAGTGTCCGCGGCGTCGAACTCGGGGTTCGTCAAGCCCGAAAGATCGCGCGGATCAATCTTCCCTGCGGGATGCACGCGAGTGCGGGACGAGGGCCCAGCCTCGCAAACGTCGGTTGACTGTTAACCGGGGTATCAGTCGGCTCCTTTTCAACATTACTCTACACCTAGGAAGAAAGAGAGAATCGATTAACCTCCGGTGAGCCAGTTAACCAACGTTCGTGGAATCCAGAGCCCTTCGTCCGGGGACGGCTCGCTCCCCGCGGGTCGAAGGCTCTCGACAGCGCGAGGAGGGTGAACCCAGCCCGTCTCCCGCATCGCGAAGCTCCGTTCTCTCCGGCGGAAGAGAGGCCTCGGTAGTTGCCATGTCCGCGCAACCAGATTGATAAACAGACGCCGTCGTCACGGCCGGGGGAACGTACGCGAGTCGCGTAGTACAGAGTCCTCGTTTCTCGCTCTAGAGACCGGCCGCGGCGTCCTTGTTTGTTATTCTAGAGCCGCGCGCGACGCTCATTTTTTTTCCCCCTTTTTACACGCGCGAGCGGCGAGGCGGCGGGCAGGCGAGGGGAGGGAGAGTCGCCGTCTCGCGATTTCGTGGCCCGCGAGAACGTCCAGCCTAGAAAAAGAGATCTCTCGGGACGTCCCGCGTAACCGGGGGGGGGGGGGGAGGGAGATCGCGCGCGAGGGTGGCGGAGGAGCCGACGACGACGAAGGGACAGGAAGGCGGTGGATTCCGTCGGCCTTGAAGAGCCGCCGGGATCGACCGCGGATCCCACGCGGCATTCTCGCCGCGAGTGTCCGTCGTCTCTGCTCCTTCCCTCCCCCTTGGAGAACTCGGCGGAGGATTGAGAAACCGCGCGGACGGGAGCGATCGCGAGAGGAGAAAGAAGAGAAACCCAAGGAATCTCGTCGCGATAACGCGATAACGTTATCTTCTCCTCTTTCTCTCTTCCTCTCGCTCTCGCGCGCGCCGTTGATCGATGACCGGTCGCACGCTTCGCGGCTCCCGCGGCGTGGAATCGCCCGCTCCGCGAGGAAAATGTTGCGCGAGATTAGACGAGACGGATGCCACACGGTTGAGAGAGAGAGAGAGGACGGAGGAGCAAACCGGAAGACAGAAACAGGCGGGATACTCACCACCGATGCTCAGCGTTCTCCATCGGGTCTTGCGCTTGGAACCCTTCTTGCCCATCTCTCGCGGTCGCCCGCACCACCACTACCACCACCGCCGCCGTCGCCGTCGTAGTCTCCTCCTCCTCCTCCTCCCCCTCCTCCTCCTCGTGCGCTCTGCGCCTCGTCCTGCGCCGCGATGATCTTCCTCGGTCGATCGTCCGTTTCTTCCTGTTTCCTCCCTTTTAGGACGTTAACGACCCTCGGCGAGCCGCGATCGTCATCGCGCGGCGGATCCCCTCGGGCACGGTTCGCGCACTACCTCGTCGGTAGCATCGCGAGGATCGCCGTCGCTCGCTCGCCGTCGATCGGAGGGGGTCGAAAGGGGGGAAGGGAGGGTTAAAAGGCTCACGGTCCTCACTCGCTCGCTCGCTCGTTCGTTCGTTCGGCTCGTCGGCGCGACGTGTAAACGTGTAACGGCGCGGGTACCTATCGTTCTCTCTCTCTCTCTCGCTCGCTCGCTGTGTCTCGCGCGCGGAATGGCAAGTCTCTCGTTACGCGAACAATTCTAATATGTAATCCACGCCGCTCGAACGGCAACCGCACACTGCGGGCCCCACCTCACCCCACTTCACCCCTTCTGACGATGCTCCACCACCCACTTCGCCGTCGTTGTTCCTCTCTCCCTCTCTCATCCTCTCTCTCTCTCTCCCCCTCCCTCCTCGCGATTGCCGCTGGCTGTGCCGAGCACGATAGGTTGCCGCTCTCGTTCCGCGTTCCGCTGCACCTTCTGTTCTCCGAGCGAGACCGGGGCGCGCGCAGAAAGTGCAGACTACGTAACCTGTGCGCGCCGTCGCAATGCCGGTCGTTCCGACTCGCGCGGCTTCCTCTCCGCGGTAGCCGCGAGCGAGCGCGGGTCCGGGCCGCTCGATTCGCGTCCGCCGTCGCGAACACGTTCGCGCGGCAACGTCACCCAACGTCACCGGAGTCTCCCGTCCAGTCTCGTCGATTCCGCGCGCCTCGGCCGCGCGGCGATTCGAACCGCGTCCTCCTGGCGCGCGGCGCGCACGCGTCCCCGTCGCCTCGCGCCGCGATTGGCCGTCGCCATGGCGACCGACGGTAAACAGCGGCGCGCCATCTTTCCCGGCTGACGGCAGTGACGGCAGCCGATGGCGGGAGGCGCCCGCGACTTCTCGTCGTTTAAAGTCACCGGCGCACGACGCTTCTTTTCCCGCTGGAGATTGCCTGCTATCTCGTAAATTGCCACAACTGCACACCACTCGGCGCTCTGGATTTCTAGTCGTTTACTAATAGCGAATTCGGCAGCTTGCACTAGTGCGCATTGAGTGCGCACTAAGGCTTGTTTACAATCAATTCTTATATTTAAGATTCGTCTTAAATATCTCGTGAAATATTTCGTAGCCAGTAAAATTATCTGTATCGCATCTATACGGATCACTTTTTGGTTGAATACTCTTTGGGCGTGTATTTGAGACAAATCCCATACAGCACCGAAACTTTCAGAAACATTTCAGAAACATTGCAACAATGATAGAACATTAAACACTGAAAATATATGAACTGATTTTCACAGTGGAACAAGAAGATTGCACTCAGTGCACCAGTGTTGCACTAGTTTTCCCAGTGGAAAACGCTAAAAGTTAAATAAAAATACAATAATAAAAACTGACTATAAACCAGGCCTTATAGCGAACTCGATTGCTTGCACTGGTGCGCACTAAGTGCACACTAAAGCTCGTATCAGACTACGGATTGGGATTGGGATTAGATTGAAATTTAACCAATCACTGTAAAGTTTACTAATCTCAAGTTCAGTAACTTTTACTCTGATTGGTCAAATTTCAATCTAATCCCAATCTCAATCCGTAGTCTGATACGGGCTTAAGGCCTGTTTATAGTCAATCGTTACATTTAACTTTGTCTTAAATACATGTGCAAAGAGTATTTAGCCCAAAAATGATCCGTATGGATGCTATGCAGATCATTTTACTGGCTAAATATTTTAAGAGATGTTTAAGACGATCCTTAAAGATAAGAATTAGACTGTAAACACGCCTTAGTGTGCACTTGTCAGTGCGCATTAGTGCAAGCAACCGAATTCGCTATAAATCGCATCGTACGCCGCTGGCTTTAGTTTGTTCAACTCGATAAATTGTACATTGTACAATTATACAATCGTGCCGATAAACTTTTCAAGCGTTTCGACTTACTTGCGCGAAACAGACTATTCGCAGACGCCACGTTCGATTCTTCAATACTCGTATATTCGAAGGGGAAACCTATGCGGAAAATTCTGCTCTTACAGAAAAGTCGCGCGTTGACTCGCGTGCTTTTTATCCAATTGGCTTTCAACTTTCCTGCGACCGCCGAACTTTCGCATACGTTTCTCTTGCGAATGAAGCGAAGAATCGGGGCCCCGGACTTTCGCGCCAAACTGTCCCGTCGGCCACTCGCGTAGCCGGCGCGGCAAGAGAGAGGTTACGTCGCGCGGAGTCAAGATTGAGGAAATGTTTGGAGGGCGCGACGACGAGCCGCCCCGTTTACGTCAATAGTACGTTGACGCGACTAATCGGATCACGGAAGTAAGGACCGATTACGCGGCTCTCTGCGCGAGTAATAACGTGACTTTTTGCACGCAGGACGAAGGCGAAGAGGTTAGGTCGCGACGGCGCTTGAAAACGGGAGAGGATGCTGAAGGTGCTGTCGCTCCACGACTTCGAGGGCCCCGCCTTCGGCAACGCGGCGGCCGTCGGCCTCATCGAGGGCGTCGTCCACTACTGCGCCTACGACACGCTGCAGGATGAGATGCAGCCTTTCGCCAGGTACCTGCGCGGCTACCCCGAGGTCTCCGTCACGCAGGAGATCCTCGCGACCCGCGAGACCGCGCGCACGATCAGCGCCGGGGAGCTGTTCCTGCCCGTTCACGACAGCGTGTTCAAGAAGCTCGCCAACGTGTGGCGGGAGCGTGGCCTGTCCGAGGCGATCCGCTTCGCCGCGGCCGCCGATCCCGAGCAGATCACGAGCGTCGCGCACTGGATCGCGACGAGGTGAGGTGCCCCTGTGTCTCTGTCCGTGAATCCAATGCGCCGTTTGTGTCGTGACGTGGAAAATGTATGACGATTTCAGGCTGAACTGGACGTTGGATTTGATGGACAGAGGACTGTACCACAGAGACGTGTTGCCGATGTCGGGAAACGGGTCTGTTGCCGATATCGTCGCTACGCGGGACTGGAATACGTCGCTGGTGGTGTCATTTAGTACTCTGGACTCTATGGACAATTGTTCGAAACGTTTGTAACTTGTTTTCTTTTTTTTTTTATGATAGGTGAGGTGTCTGTCCTGGCATCCGCACTGCGCTCGCCTGGCTGTGGCTACGAGGGACGACAGAGTCCGCATCTTCTCGCAAGGCCTACTGGGCGTGCCGGTGCTGAGGCATAGCGCGCAGAAGTCAGTTTGCTGTTTAAGTTGGCGGCCGTATGCCGGCCGCGAATTAGCGGTTGCTTGTTACTCCGGAGTTTTGATTTGGACGATAGAATTGGGGGCGGCTAGTAATTCGCTTAGCCACGCGATACTCTTGAAGCAGAGGAATCATGCACCCGTTACGAGCATCGTGTGGCACCCACAAGTAACACATCGCTTTATTTCTGTTAATATTTATTAAATGTAACACGAGTTATATAGTTTCTCTTTCCAGGGTGATTTGTTGGCATCGTGCTCGCCGTCGGATTTAAGTATAATGATCTGGGATGTTTCTAAGGAAGAAGGGGTTCCTCTGAAACGCGTCGGTGGCGGCGGCATATGCTTTACGCGCTGGTCGCCTTGTGGCTTGCGATTGTTTTCTGCCTCGTGCAGAAATGTCTTCAGGTAATATCTTTGTATGTCTAACGAAAAGTCTAGTTAGACATGCAGTTAGAAAGGTGGATATTTAATATTTTTAGGGTCTGGAACACTGGCGTTCCGACGCCGTGGCATGCAGAAAGATGGACCGTACCCCAGGGTCGCGTGGCAACTGCATGCTTTGGTCCCAACTCAACGTTACTCTTCGCCACTACCGGAGATCCCGCTACGATATTCTCGTTGCCGTTACAAGATAATATATTCGACGTTAAAAAGACAAGCAATAACGATGTGAAGATAGCTATGCGTCTAATCGATTTAACGAAAGTAAATTTCTCATCGGACGACAATGACGATTATATCACGGTGGGCGGTAGAATAGTTTCTATGGAATGGGACCCAACAGGAAAATGTCTTGCCATTCTTTTCCAGGTTTGTAAAAAAAGTATATAAATTTATGCAATTTTTTTGTTTACAAAATAAGTAGTAGATGTACATAAAAAATTTTTACGAAAAGAGAATGCATTGTAGAGTATCTCTTGTGCTAATTTGTTTCTTTTTCTCCATAACAGGACAGTCCAGTTGTTGCACTGGTCAAAACAAACTTGAGTCATTTGTCGCGGATAGTGGAAGCGCAAGCGAGCTGTCTTATCAAGGGATTTCCAGGGGAAGTGCCAAACTGCATTAACTTCTATCAGAAACACTCGTCGTGGATTTGTTTGACAATAGCTTGGAACAGTGGACGCGTGCAGCATTTCCCGATTGTGGAGAATGTATCTAAGGTTGATACTAGCACACGCTCCACGTCATTACCTCAAATCGTGAGGCCAAGTGGATTGTACAGCTTTGACGTCTACGGCGGCAGACAATATTAAGTTATTATGATATCACTGAGGTAATAAAATATTTTTATATGATTTTTCTATCTGCATTTGTAAAGGATAAATATAAAAATGAAATAATGGTTTAATAAACTCATTTGCAAGAAAGTTTCTCATTAGTGGTCAATCACAGGCGATATAAAGCAGCTCCAGGCATATGTGTGTATGCGTATGGACAGATCTTACGCAATTCTCGTTTGGGAGAGACCTTATACACCCTTTTACTGTCTTCGACGGAGAGTGAGAAGAAGAAAAAAAAAGAGTGGCCCGTCGTTAGACTCTCTAATAGACTGCGCTTGTAACGTATGGAGGGGCATAGAACACAGCGCGTTCTCCTCGATGCCTAATTATACGAAGTCACATGCAGAGCGCGCGTCTTTCTATTTTTACGTTTGCTTGACCGAATGCTAAACGGTTTGCCGGCGTACGTGACGCGGCCCACGCTATTTTCAATACTCTGCCCATGTGAATGCGAATGGCCGAGTCTGCCCCGAGCACCTACGTCGAATTGATTTCATCCAAGCAATTTTTTTTCTCCGCGTTGCCCCTTTTCCCATTTTACAGAGAAAAATGAAGAGAGCTGATTCCACGCACGCGATTAACAGGGTCTGTTGTCAAATCGTCAAGCTTTGAGAGTCCAATCAGGGTGAAGAATAATTAGCGCCATTAACGCATCGCGGATCGTCGATATCGTCCAAAGCGTGGGCTCGACGCCGTATTTTCCCGTGCGTTTGTTCACTTCTATCGGTCCCGATACGATCGGAAGATTACGAGCGCAGGGCGCACGGTCGTTTTTTATACGGGGCGCGATTAAATGCGCTCAGGACGATCTTTCTCTTCTTTTTTCACCCGTTTCGCTGTTATTGCATCCGTATGGGGGGATGAGAACATGATCGGTGTCCTTTTTACGGTATATTTATTTTGAGGGTGATCTCTCTCTCTCTCTTTCTCGGGGTCGCGTACGCACATGCGGCGACTGTGGTACGAGCGAAGCTGACAGGTGCCCGGGCAAAAAAGCCAGGACCGCGAGCCGTCGTATGCATGTAATGTAAGCACAGAGGGCTGGCAGACCACATGTGCCGCTATATCACTTATCTACTAGTAATGCGACGTACCAACTTGCCCAGAGAGATGCACCAGGACGCGTATGTACGCACAGTCACGCATGTACGCGCGCTCATAATTTTCCGCGCAAGGGAGAGACCGCCGAGATGAGTGGAGCTCCCGTCCGCGTATGATATGTGGAAGAGGAAGAGAAACACAAAATAACATATACAAGAGAAACACTGAGACATTATACTAAATCTCACGGAGGAAGAGCGTGAGATTTAGAGTCTCTTTCATCAATCTCGATTAGATTAATCGACGGTTACAATTTGCAGGGTGCCAACAGAAAACAGAGGTGAAGGATAATCATGTCCATTAGAGAATCTGTCGGTCCAGGTGAGAGAGGCCCTCGGTATAAAATATAAAACAAAAGCGCTCCACGTCTTGACAGTGAACGCCAACACGGAATTTCTCCCTTAGGATTTCGCACTTGGTTCGAGTGTCGTCGACCTGGTGATTGCCGAGAGGTCACCGCCCCGCGTGTCGTTGAAACGACGACCGCAATCTCGGGGATGTGTCCTCGGCAAGGACACGGTTGGCGTGGTGAGTCGCGGTTATAACGCGAGGAGGGAGAAACGGTGATCTCTCTGATCCTCGCGATTCTGCCCTTTGCGGAAATCGCGAAGAACCGAGATCGCGACGAGGTGAGAGGACACCGCGAGCGAGGGTGGCCTGTGAGATGGACGAGCGAGGAGTGAACGACTTGTCCTCATGTGGCACGCCTGTGGAAGCATGTTGTTAATAAGTGACGCGTGTGTGGCAGCTGGTGTTACATTTTTTGCCCCCGCGCCCGATTCTTAGGGGCTCGAGCGACGAAAGATCGTCTCGAGCGCGCCCCCCCTCTTTCATTCTTTCCCTTCTTTTCCCTTTCGCTCGACGAGAGCTGCGTCCTCCTCCGTTTCTCCCTCTTGCGCGCGGCGCACGCACTTGTCTTGGATGCTCCTTCGAACAATTTTCGACGCGATGAATCACGTGTAGCAATTTAACGCTTGTAATGCACGATCGAAATTTCATCCTTCGCGGCCCTACGTCGAGAACCTACGTCCCATATTCTTGAGCTTGTAATAATTAACAGTGATTCTTCGAGCATTCGATAAATCTCTATGAATTCCTAATAAAAATTCTATAATTCATGTTAGACCGGCCGATTAAATGAAAACGAAATACTTGATTTTCGCTCATTTACGAAAAATATAATAGAAATTTTGGACTGCAAAAGATGATGTTATCCTATTGTTTGCAAAAGTGTGGTGAGGATTTAGTTCTACTGAATGAAGAACCAATGTATATGGCTACATACTTTTAATCTTCTACGATAAATTTAAACACATATTACATCAAAATTGCATTTACAGGTAATATTACAAAATTTTAATGGACTGAAACAGACATGGCCAACCTACGGCCCGCGACAACATTTAGAAAAGTAAAGAAGAAAAGTATAGAAGAAAAAATTATAAAACTAATTTTACTAATGCTTAAATTTGACTAAAATTTCAAGTTTCAATCGACCTCAGCTGGCCACATTTATTAAATACGTTTTCACAGCGTTTCGACCTTTGGTTTAGGTCCTGATCAAGTGAGATCTAGGAGTAAATGTTTTACATGCAGTTTACGCGAGAAGTATAAGAGAACTGTGCAGTATCGCAGAATGATTGTCGGCCTGCCTTGTTACGGATAAGATTTGAATCTGACATCCTAGCGACTCGTAAGTAGCTTTTATGCAATCATATGTCCGATGTTTAGATATCCTCCAGATACCTTTTTGATTCATTTTGCTGTGCGAGATATTACAGAATCGTCCAAAGTGGACCCCTAGGCGTCACGGGGGCGAAATCATGAATGGCCCGCGCGTGGAAAAGACGGTCGAGGCGACGCGGGGTCGGCGAACGCGCGTATTTACGCGCCTTGGCAGATGTTCGGTCGCGACCCGCCACCCCCGGGGGTCCCCGCGAAGGGAAAACCGCGTACCCCCGCGACAAGTGCGGCGGCGGCGGCGGTTGCGACCGCGTTGCACCGCGATGAAGCGCAGGAGGGGGCTCGATGCAGCCACGCGAGTGGGCGGCGCGACGTTCCCTTCGCGCGCCCTTCCGCCCTCCGCTTTCCAAGAAGAGGAGCACGATCCCGAAGGGCCCTTTATTAGAGGAGGAGGAGGTGGGAGATCCTCTCTCGGCTCTCCGAGAGGTTCCTCCGACGGAGGAGAGAATCGTCTCGCGGCTGATAGTCTTTAACGAGACGCGCGAACGGGTGGTGCGAAAGCGCCGATCTTCTCGCTACATCGGCTTCCGCGGGAAGAGAGACCCGGCGCTGCTCCACGCCACCACGATTCTTGTTTCTCGCGATCGTTATCGCGCGCGTGCCACGACGAGGAAGATAGATAGACAGCTAGAGAGGGAGGGCGAGAGGAAAAGGCCGGCGCGATAAGCGGGCCGCCGATCATCGTGTACACGTTGATACGTTGATACCGAAGTAAGCCGTTTCTCCGACTCGTTACTCTGGAATTTCGAGAATATCTCCGACTCTTCCTCTTCCCGGAGAGAAGTGAGGCCGCGATCGGGCGTCTCCCTGGTCCCGCGGCGATGGGCCGAGGGGACGTGCGGGATTGTAGCGCGCTATCCGCGAAAAATCCGGCGGTGACTCCGACACGTTTCTGAGAGAAAAAAAAATTGGCGATCTCGTTACTGTGTTCCTACGATCGCACCTCATTTTTCTCTGGTGATTGCGCTGGATTGAAGGGGTGGCCTCCGTTTCGGGACAGTTGATTTTCTAGAGATCGCGATCGGGACAGGCAGGTGCGACGTTGTTTCGACTTGTGCGGCTGGTTGAAAGCGAGTAGTCGCTCCTGTCGGTCGCGATTGCGAGAGGTGTGCTTCTCACGTCGACAGAGACGTTAGACGATCGCAGCCGCGACCTTACGGTTGCGATGTAACGTACAAAAGTGTGTACGTAAGTACTCCAAGTTCCACTTGTGGATTTAACCGAAACAGACTTCATCCCCGGAGGATCTTACTTCATTCTTTTTTTTTAAATATATTTATCGGTATCCCGTACAGTTGCGGTGCATTAATTCGCTTCGGGTCGCGTTGTTAAGAAGCATTTACGTTTAACTGATCAAGTAATTTTTGTCCATCCCTAATTATTACCCGAACCGAGTTAATGCGCCGTACTGCACGTACGAACGCGCATAATTGGATGCAGGTCTGCAACGCGGAGCCAACTCCGAAACGTTGCCTTTCCGTTTAAGCAAATTTCACGAAACGTTAAAAGCAATATTCTGGGTCTGCTGTCGTCTCAAATATAACGACCGAGTTGTGATCCTCCTCGAATGTAATTCCATAGGTTTTAGAAAATCTGCCCACGTATCACCTTGCAATACGGAATTAAAAATCACGAAGATAGCGCCCGGCTCCTCATTGCATAACTGCATCCAATTATTATCTGGCGCACCGATAAATCACAATCGGCTGTATGTACGTTCCTCGCTTCGTTGTATCTCTCACTCTTGAGAATTTTGTAAACGCGCGCACGATATTATCAAGTTAGATCGTGGCTGCGCGACTGCCCGCTTCGCGGAAGCGAGTCGGGCGAACCTCCTGTCGGACCCGCGAAGGGATCTTGAGGGCAACCCCGGCGCGGAACCGCTCGACAATGCGTCAACGGCGCGATGTCGATCGTCGCGAATTTCGCTCCATTATCATCGTCATCCGCTGATATTCCCGGAGGCTCCGCCGCGTTATCTCTTCGCGCCTTTACGCGGTGACGAGAGCCCCGCGATAACGGTCGCTCGGGCACAAAGTGCACGGTGTCGGATAAGACGCTGAAAAGCGCGCCCGGCCGCGCTCGCTTACTCAATCCGCGCGCGCGTCTCGCGCGGCGTTACAAAATCCGCGCGCGGATTTCGCAATTCGCCCATCGGCGTGCCGCAACTAAACGCACATATCGCTATGATTGACACGGCAGGCTGCCGGCGGCGACGAGCTCGGACCGACGAGGACGACGACGGAGGAAGAGGAGGAGGCGGAGGCGGAGGGAGAGATGCACCTCGAGGATTACCACGGCGGGAGGAGCGAGGAGGACGACGTGCGACGCCCGGCGTCCGCTCTCGAGTTAGACGACGTGGTCGACGACGGCTCCCTACCCGATCTGATGTCTATGACGATGATGGCCGGCATGGACGTCGACTTCGGCCAGCCGCACTGCTGGGCGACCTCGCCGGCGGCGGACAACGGCGTCCTCTTCTCCCCGCTGGGAACCGACGCGGATCCGCGTGACTATCTCGACTGGGACCAAGTGCCCGTCGTCTTTCAGTATCCCTCGGACGGCGGTGGTTCGCCGGGTGATAGCACCGGCAGCGAGGCAACAACGCCAGTCTGGAGCAGCGCGGTGACAGCGACGACGAAGACGACGACGACGACGACGGCGACGGCGACGAGTCATGAGGACAAATTGGACTGCCGGAAGTTACCCTCGATGGGCTCGGCCTTCTCCTTCTCGCGCACGTTCTGCAACACGATCTATCCGGAATACGGAGCGGAGTCGCAGGGGGAGTATCAGGACTACCCGAACTGCCAGGAGGACGTGGTGTCGTTATTGATGAGCATCCAGAACGAAATCGCGGTTCAGAACTACAACCCGCCGGTCGCCGACGAGTTCGACCTCAGTCTGATCAGGGGCGACCCGACGTCGCTGATAAGCGCGATGGATTCGTCGTCGGCGACCTGTTTCGCGAGCGACGATCAGCAGCAGCCGTCCCAGAGCTTCGATCCGCCGTATTACGCGGTCGGGCACCTCGTCTCCTCCCAGCAGGACCCGCCGACGGTCAGTCTCGCCGGTGAGCTTGTCGGCGCGACGGACAGCTTCGGCAATCAGGTGATACTGCCGCGGAACGAGGGTCTGCTGCTCGGGAACGGCCGACGCGTCGCCGGGTCGAAGGCCACCGAGATCGAGAAGAACGACAAGTCTTACGGTAAGCACTCGGCGCACCGTTCCCATTCATTTCAGAGACTCTTTCACGCTCTCACATTTCGTCAGAGTTTATGATTGTTTCGTCAGAGTTGCATTAATTCTGTCAGATTAATAAAAGGAGCGCCTCGGCTAAGTTAAAACGAGCAACCCGGGGGTGTTTCCGGCGTCTTTAATATCGGTATCCAAGAGCCCCGAGTACTTCCGGCATCCGAGCGAGAGTACAATGGAGTCTCCGGCATTTTTAGCGCCGTCAGATATGCCAGACGATCGGGATACTCGTGGCAATCTCCTGCGCGCACGCAATTTCTGCTCCAGTTGCGCGTGTTTACGTTTCGCGTGCGTACGTCACGTTGCAGATTGCGCGAGACCGGTGGACGATAGCCTCGCGTCGGCTTATCAGTGCCGCTGGATCGACTGTGGATGTGCGTTCGCGGAGCAGGAGGGCCTGGTGCGGCACATCGAGAGGCGGCACGTGGAGTCGTCCGCGGCGGGCGCGCACGGCCACGGCAGGCGGACTCAGCGGGACAAGGAGCGCGACGGCAAGGAGACCGGGGACGGCTTCCCCGTCGCGACGGCGACGAGCCGCGAGGACGAGTTCGCCTGCCTGTGGCAAGGATGTCCGCGCGCGCGACCGTTCAACGCGAGGTACAAGCTGCTCATCCACATGCGGGTGCACACGCAAGAAAAGCCGAACAAATGTCCGGTTAGTGTCTCCTCGTCTGTTCCCTCTCGGCGACTTTAAACTTCAGCGCGCCTTGCGGCCCCCCCCCGGTTTCAGCCCTTTTCACTATCTCATCGGTCACTTTATCGAGTCATTTGTGTGTAAATTCATTAAGGAAAGGAGATTTCCTTAATGATAGATTTTTTTATCCAGTTGTTTTCCGGAATTAATCGGTTGGACCATTTTTATTATCATTTTCTTGTCGGCCTCAGGTAAGGCGCGTTTTTGCGCCAAGTAGAGCCTCACAAGTAACAATTGAAAGTTTCACAAACTGATCCATTGGTTTCTATTGTTTCAAATTGTATCGATACTGTCCATCTTTTCTGTTCGCCAAGCTTTGTTTTCTACAAATTGTCTACCGGCGCTAATTCCTGACTGTTGATTTTTGTTTCAGTTTGCCGGCTGTAAGAAGGCTTTTAGTCGTTTGGAAAACTTGAAGATACACCAGAGATCGCACACGGGCGAAAGGCCATACGCGTGTCAACACAATGGATGCTCAAAGGCGTTTAGCAACAGCAGCGATCGGGCCAAACACCAGAGAACCCATTACGACAGAGTACTATATCTTCCTTATTTTTCACGTATTCAATAAATGCGTAAATGGCAATTGAAGTTTCTTTTCTAGAATCTCTCGTCAGCAGCTAATCTCGTTGGTTCGATATGATGTTATTCGATAAGTTGTACTGATATAAATTGTTGTGAAACGTGTTGTGGAGGGGGGAGGGGGCTTATTAATACCCTAAAAAATTAGTATAAACTCCGTAGATTCGACGATTTTCTTCGGTAAGAAGATAATTTTGATGATGGCTTTTTCCTTTTCTAGAAACCATACGCTTGCCAAATAAGCGGTTGCGGCAAACGTTACACCGATCCATCGAGCCTTAGAAAGCACCTGAAGAATCATACGGAAAATTCAAGCACTCTGTCCAGTTTGTTATCGTCGGAGAAGATATCAACGAGTAACGTGATAGGAAATGGACACAAGATAAGCTCGACAATTCCTCACCGAGGAGGCCAAGACGCCTGCATCTTCAACGTGGAAACGAATCATTCGCCGTACAAATTGTCTAAAGCTTGTATCAAAGAGGAAAACACATCGTCGAACAATGCGTGCCAGTTGAATAGAATCTCCCTGAACTTCGACGACAATCAGCAGGAATACGTGCCGATCGAGTCGGTTCGTCATCTTCTCATCAACGACATCACCAATGCACAGAACGAGAACACAGGTAATGGATATATTCAATATGGACGATTTCAGTCGATCAAACTGTTAGCGAATGTTATAAATTTAAGGGTTTAGTACCGTGAAGTTAGTAGCATGACTCGCGAAGCTCGTCAAAATGTGGCGAGTGCACTTAATAATTGTCGGAATTATTTTAATTGTTTAAATTTTTCTGCACGATATATTCCATTTTTCTCACAGAATATTTTTAAAAGATCTCACGATACTTGTTGCGAATTAACAATTTCGTTTCGAGCAACTTTTTGGATTAGTTGAAATCGGTTCATCGTCGTGACGACATATGGCTCTCATTTTATGATCTCCATTCCTTCAGTCGACTTTCGATATAGGAAAATCTGGTCGAAATGCGATAAGAGACACTTCAACTTGCTACTTATTTCGACTGCTTGCATTATATACATAGCTCTTTTTTACGCAAGAGCACCAAAGATATAGCGTGACCTTTAACTTTTCTTGGCAATCGAGTAAGACCTTGTTTTCCAGTTTTACGAGATTTATTACAGTTTCTCTTTGCAAAAATAGCATTTGCGAAATAGATCAATGTCGTGGAATTATTTAAATCAATATCGAGTCTTGTATAATCTCTGATAACTGAAAAAGCAATGTACCCCGAGGAATCTTTGTTCAGCTATGTTTTTTGATCTCTTGCATAATATTCTTAGCAGAAGGTCCAATTGTTCCCCGAAGAAACACACGGTAGCATCTTCCGTAAATATATTTGACACGATGCAAGATGCTCCTTGATTCTCTCTCTCTCTCTTTATTTTACCGCGAATTTTACCGTATCTTTAAGAATAGTGTGCAATTCCGCAAAATCATAAGCTAAGCCGGATCGAGCATGCGTGCGTGGATCTCGCGGGCGCGTGCTGGCTTTTTCTGTCGCGGCTCGCGTATCGCGCCGATGATGACAGTGTCGCGTCTTCTATAGCCGATCTCAGAGGAGGTTCGCCGCCCACTCCTTTATGCCTTTACCCCATACAGAGTCTTAAAATAATATTCCTTACTTTTTTGGAAGGGGAAAAGAAGGGGCGGCCGCGTACGCGACGTACGCCTCGCGTACGAGCGACGCGCGTACGCGTGACAGAACAGATGACAAAACAGATTGCCACGTGCCACGCACCCGTGCTATTTCCAAAGGAGCCCTCGCGTAATTTCGTGAAAGTGCATATAAAAACGTGCTCGCGCGCACGAGATGAGAGACGCGTGAAAGAGAGGGCGAGCGACGCGAGGAGGCGAGAATGTGGGAGCGAACAAAGTCACCGCCCGTTAAATTGCTCGTTGCAGGATACCGCGCGTTTACGGAGGACGACGTGCCGGATTTCCACGAGCTCGGCGCCGACATCGAGCGACACTTCCACGAGCTGGGCGGCCTGAACGACGCTATCTTCATCGATGGATGAGCCTCTTCAGCCGGGGAGTCCCAACCCTGACGCGGGCGCCGGTGAACGAACGAGAGAATGAACGTTCGACATAGTTGAACACGCGTCTCGCTTCGATTCAGGAGATCATAGATCAAAGATCTTTTCCTCAACTGGCGTCAACTCGTGACAAGTGAAAACTTTCATTGGCGAGTTCAATGTTCACGCTGGAAGAAAAGATTTACTATCGATCTCCAGATTTCGCGTTTCTCGGAGAGCTCCAAAATGGTTGCTTCAATTCGTAGTTAATTCTAGCGATCCCTCAATTTCTCTCGAAAAGAATTAATTGCGTTGCTCTTTACATAGTTTACATATGTCTTTATAAGATCTGTGTCAACGATGCTAGAACTTGGTCCAAGCTCCAAGAAATGTGTAGCCAATTTAAATAGCTGATTGGCTACACATTTCTAGAACTTGGACCAAGTTTTAGCATCGTGGACACAGGCCTTTGGGGAAAGAAGAAGCAGTTCACCAGTGCGTCGTTCAACCTACGCCGTCGCGATCTCACTGTTCCGTTTCTCTCTTTTTACGACTCCTTTTATACTTATATTAGTCCGTTGTACTTGACAAATCGTATATATTTTTGTAAAAAGGTACTTAGATATAATATTAGATAGGCGAACAAAATACATCATTTACTTCGACCGAGCGATTATCCGTCCCCGCACCTTCAACGCGCGACTCGGCCCTAATCTCTCTCCGCAACCCTCGTCAATTCTCGCTGCTGCAGATGCTCGGCTGTTCCTCCGCCGTTAAATGCCGGCAGATCAGTGTCGGCAGGTTCCTCAGCGCCTCGTCCTGATTTTCCTTCGAGTACACCTGCGCACGTGAGATAATCGTGACATGACATTAGTTAAATCGACCTGGAACATGTCGTTACGCACGAGATTAATTAATTAGCCTTCGTAACGCTTACCCCGTTGATCACTATCGTCGGGACGAATCTCAAAGGTGGCTCGAGGGCTGCGGTTTTATCGCCGTTCACTGCGAGCAGTTCGTTCGCCAACGGGCTCGCAATGCAATCGTCGATCGACTTTCGCGTCACCTCGCTCAGGCCGGCGTCATGAGCGCACTAAAAATCAGTAGTTGCGTTATTATTACATTCATAACGCGCCTTTTGTTATCTTGACCCCTGACAGATGGCCGGATTTATTATCGGCGAGAAATGTTTGCGCGTATCGCACACTTCTGCAGTTTACGTGACGTGACGTGGAAAACAATATAACGAGTCAGCGGTATTATATCTCACGCGCTAGCAAACATTAAATGCCGCGTCACGTGTTTATCCTAAAAATCAGCGGTCGTTTAAGGAAAATAATTCGCCTTTCCTGCACGTTTCACGTATGACTTTCCGCGCGCACGAAAAAACGAAGCTCCAGTAATGATTTAAGCTCATTAAAAACATCGACGCGTGCTCTTCAGGAAACCTTATATGTTATTATAAATATCATCCGCGTTCCTTTGCCGCGACGACGTAGGGAAATATACTTTAGATAATTAATTTCGGTTTCTCTTAATCACATCTCGATGGTATTTTATATTCAAAATGGCAAAACATCTCTTGTTTCGATCTTCGAGAACAGCGCTCGGTTTTTAAATGGAATTAAAGTGAAAAATGATCTCGATGAGCGGCGTCTCGTCAAAGGCACGCGTCGCGGCGCATGCTATCGCGTGCCATGAATTCGACGGGAAAGTATGCCAAAGGTCGACGTTACGAGTTAAATGTCGACTCTTGCTCATCGGTGCAGGTCCTACGGAGGATTAATTACACGTTACTCGGGTAAAAGCACGCATCGTCGCGGCGGCAATCGCACACGCGCGGCTAATCGCGGCCGGGAAATTACGGAGGCGAAGCTATACCTGCGAGAAGGCATTCGGCATGTCTCCAATGGACATTGCACAATTGACCAGATCGACCATCAGCGTCTGTTGATTCTCGGCCGCCTCGGAGGACTGTATGGAGTGGATCGCGCACGCCTGGGCCTTATTCCCACGGCACTCGGCGGGCCCGTGTTGACACATGAATTGCCACGGACCGGTTTCGCTCTCGCGCGAGTGCTGCAGACATACGCGCGCCGTCAATTTGCATTTAAATCGTCAAAAACAGCAACGTTTTCCTCATGCTCGAGGGCGAGGACCACGGCGAGGGCAGTCGTTCTGGCGTTTTCAAGGCCGCGCGACTCACGAAGCGAATCCACGCGCGTCGATCCGACTCGCCGAATTCACCTCGACGTGAAAGAGATAATCTCCCACAGTACATTGGCTAAATATTAGCTAAACGAGCGTTCGAGTGGCTCACTGGAGATCGGCGGAAGAGACGACAGATCACGTGCACGCGCAGTGATCGGGTAAAAGGACAACGGATTTGAGGAGAATAATAATAAGTTCTCTTTTGCTGACATGGGCCTTCGTGCAAAGTCACTGTAAGTCGGTCGTCGACACAAACATCCAACCAACCGATAGAATATTCTCGATGATTATATGAAGCCCATGTCGGCAAAATCGGAAAATAAACCTGAAAGAACAATGATGTTTTAAGAGAGCGATCGAATTTTGGCGCGCGTCTGACGCATCAATACACGTCATCGCGAACAAGAATACTAGATTTACATTATTTCCAAATATTCCCGGATAGCCAGTATGCTTAAGCAATGGAAATAAAATAGAGCAACTGATGCTAGCTCTTTACTAGGAATATGAATTCAATGTTTGAGAGAGACTTAAGGTACAGCTAGCATAATGTTAACATATTGTAGCTAAGTGCACAGCTAAAGAGAGAACACATCGAATGGGCATACTGTTAACGCACATTGTCTTTAATTTTCTAACAGAGAAAACATATTACATCTGGCCAATCATTTAACGCCAGCATAATGTCTGGATTCATGCAAATGTTTTATTTCCGATATCAACCCAGACAGCACACATGTCTAAAAGACATCTTTAAGACGTCATTAAGTTATCTTTTCGACATGTACGTCTAAAAGGTGTCTTAAAGATATCTTTATGCCCCCTTTTAGACATGTGTGCTGTCTGGGAAATGCTAGCAAACAACAGCATAATAGCGGGATGCCGACATTTTTGTTAGCAATATGAAAGTTGTGCTCACACTGGCTATCTGGGTTGCGCCAATATATTGTGCTGCGAAGATCTAATGCAAGAGCTACAGCGAACAAATATCGAGCGATCTGTTGTTGGATGACAAATTAATAGATACATTGTGATATTGAATCGCACAAATGAATAGATGAATGTTGAGGCAAGGCGGGTACAAAGTACTCTCGTGTGTCTCCACGTAACCGTTGCCTCGCTGTCGCCTCGCTGAGGCGATAAAAATCATAGTTACGAAGCTACTTACCGTTGCCTTACCGTAAGGCACAAACGTAATGTGAATATGATTCTTCAATTGCGGATACGACGGCACGAGTTGATTTGCGATCCATCGCATGCTGTCACTGCACAACGATTCGTAGTAGACCTCCACGTTGACCACGGTCTTGTTCGATTCACCATCGACCGACTGCGCATTGGACTTGAACAGATTTGTAAAATTATCGCGCGCCGCCTTTTAAACGTATTCCTGCGAAACTCTTCCGATTCTTCTCGAGCTTTGTAAAGAATCCGGATTAAAAAGAGTCGATAGAGAGAACTTCTCTTCCACAGCTGCGAATTTTGCGGTCTTCGAAAGCGGAGGGAAGTCACATTTCTGAATTTTACTCTTGTTCCAGTTCTCTTTTCAATTAGTATATTAGCTCTTCTTATAAAGTTAAACAAATCGATTAATTAATTAAAATTTAAAATATCAATCGTTTCTTTACATTGCTACATCAGAATTGACGTGTAAACCGTTTAAAATCACACCGTTTAATAGAATTGTTCAGAATGCCAAGTACAAATTACGGATACAATTAGGCCAAAAGTCGAGCGAGAAATGGTGGAACATTATAAAACATATTAAAAAAAACCATTTCCCTTGACGGTTGATGCGAGGCAAATCGAATGTCGAGATCCCGAGTTCGCCTTTTGATTTCTTTCGCTTAAATTCATTATCGATTTGCGAGCGTCGGGAATATTTGATGAAAAGGGACACGTTAATTTATCTCGCGAGGAGTGCCGAGTTTTGAGATTCACGCTTACCAGAACGCCGTGCGAGACGAGCGCGAGGAAGACGGCGGCCGCCAGCCGAGCGCGAGAAACCAACAAGTAGTGTTGCATGATCGTGCCGTTGATGAGTGAGAGCCACGGAGAAGGCTTTTTAAAGACTGCTGCGGACAATAGCCGACGGGCGAACGCGGCGGACACGAAGAGAGGGAGATACGAAAAGCGGTGGGGAATTGAAAAAGTGAGAGTGTGAGAGACGAGACAATCGATAACAGAGGGAGGGAGGAGGAGAGAGACCCGTGGCTTCATCCTTACGTTGTTAGTCGAGGACACCCAGTTACGTTTTATCCGGATGCTTCAATCATAGATACACGCTGGCAATCAGCTTGAGTTTCGCGATACCTCGGCTTTGCACACAAAGCCTGAGGACTCTTCATGACTGTGTCATATATAATATAATGTTCACTTTCTAACGGAGTTACAGACTTAGAACGGCAAGCTTGGTAGTGTTAAAGCATGTTTAGTAGTCGGACACAGAGATGTTCAGCGTTTCATTAAAGTTACTGCGTCTATAATAGAACAAAAGGTCTTTTCCGATAGATTGAGTCTAATAAATTTTATAATAGATTAAGAATTCTACTCAGTAAAAGTGTTCTGTAACGTTGTGACGTCTCTAGAAGCTACTAATACCGTAGCGAGAGGAAGAAAGAGCTAGAGTTACAAAGTTACAGGGCGCAAATCTTACAGAATTCTGAAATTGTTTGTATCTTTCGCAAAACAGAATCATGTTCTACAGCGCGACTCTTGAAGTGCACATTCATTTGCGCACATTCAATTCGCAGAACAACACAATGAGGGATAGCGTGACTAAATGGGATAATCGTAAAACAATTATATAGTATATTTGTACTATAGAATAAGTTAACAATTCACGCTAGACATATTTAAGATTAGATCGACGATCGTGCCGAGAATAATGAATAACAAATTATCGATTACAAAGAGTACCATAATTGTTCTCTTCCAATCATCCAGTCTACTATTATATAAAGAGTGAGAACAAGTGTCCATAGGCAAATGGCCCCATTTTTTTCGCATTCGGTTTTGGTCACAAAGTAGGTACCAAACGAAGGGTCTCGTCAAGCTGATTACAGATATGTCAGTCTCAGAGTGTACCTATTTAATGTTTCAGAAATATCGGGCTCCGAAGGTTCCATTCCATTCCAAACAAATGGTGTCTGTCCAGACGGCTTCATCGCTTTTACGTCCTAGGAATTTTTGAAGCCCGATCTGGAACATTAAATAGGTACACTCTGAGACTGACATATCTGCGATTATCTTGACGAGACCTTTCGTTTGGTACCTACTCTGTGACCAAAATCGAATACGAAAAAAAATGGGGCCGATCTTGTTCTCACTCTTTATTAAATTACGTTAAAAATCATAAACATATAAATCGTGACAATTTAGAGTAATCCAACATGATCAGTTGAACATACAAGAAAAGTTCGATGTTCTTTCTGTTTCACAGAACTGTGTAAAGAAAAATCGACTACATCTTGATTGCGACTTAAGGGGTTCGACCGTTGAAAATTATTGGCAAAATTGACGCGCGCCGTATTGAAATAAATAGATATTTGGCCGCCTGCGAGCGTCCAGGAGCCACGTCGCGTAGCCGAGCGTTATGGATTCACGCCCTGATGAAACTTCAATTCCGGCCGCACTTGTTTCAGCTCGTTGTGCAGTTCTATAGCGCGTTTCTTGAAGGTCGCGGCGAGCTCGGGATTCTTCTGGGCGCCTTCTCCGCGCGCGTGCATCTGCGACAGGTTCGCGCAGGCATACGGGTTGCCGTGCTCGCAGCTCTTCAACGACAGCTTGTACGCCTCTTTGTAGTTCTTCTCGATGCCCTCGTAGCCGCTCAGGTAGATGCCCGCTAGGTAGAAGCAGGCCTTCGGCGAGTTGAACATGTCGCAGGCCTTTCTCAGGTACCTGGCACCCACCTGGACCTGGGTGGCCCTATCCTTCTCTCCGACGTCGTTCTTGGACGTCGCTAGGACACCAGCGTGCAGACATCCGTATTCATCGTCGAGCTCGCAGCCCTTCGACATGTACTTGTACGCTGTCGGTATGTCCTTCTTGCAGCCTTTACCTGTGCAAGTGAAGAACGTTATGATGAATAGAAAATAATTACACTCAGACGTTCATAGTTTGAGCTTACGTCTAAAATGTTAAGTGCGATCTCGAGAGAATGTTATGTTTTTGAAAATTACATAAAGACGAAATACCTTTGTTTCGTAATTCTTTTAAATTATAAGAATTGAGCACGGCGATGATCGAATCACAGAACCAAACCGCAAAAGTATAATACATATATGGAAATTAAAATCGGGAAGCTGCGGGCTCGTCGCTTTATTGGCTGACCGGACTATTCCGATAGTAAAATCCCGCCCAGTCAATAAAATAGCTGTACAGCTTTTTGAAATAGTTTCGAGTTTAACGTACAGTAACATTAAGACTCCGGTCAGCCAATAAAGCGACGAGCCCGCAGCTTCCCGATTTTAATACTTTTGCGGTTTGGTTCTGTGATTCGATCATCGCCGTGCTCAATTCTTATAATTTAAAAGAATTACGAAACAAAGGGTATTACTATACTGCCCTTCGTGATTCAACAATTCAAATTCTGCGCCACGACGGACATTCCCGACATCTACCGCGGACACGCCGCAACTAACGTCGCGAGTGTTTGCGAGTGTGTTGGAGCGCCTCGCGCTTCTCTCGGCGGACTCACCGGTCACTTTGAAATCGCCGAATTTCGCGCAGCTCCTGCCGTAGTTGTACCGATCGCAGTTCATCTTGTACAACGACGCGGCCTTCTCCGGCTCCGAGTTGACCGCCTCGTAATAGTCGCCCAACAAGTGGCACACTGTTCCCAAAGCGAAAGCGTCAGTACTCCGAGTCGAGAGGTTAGGTCCTAAAAAGGCCTCACTCACCCTGCGGCTTCTTTTCGCTGTGGCAACCGAACTGGTACTCTATGTGAAGGTTCTTCAGGTACTCCTTCACGTCCTCCTCGTTCTTTAAATCGTACGCCATCGTCTCGGCTCTCGCAATCTTGCGCCGTACCTGCGATCACATAATAAAGACTCCACCTGGGATACAGCTGCCCTCTTGTGATAAAAGAAACACGGACCCTCAGCGCCGCCTGGAGCTACGCTCGCGAGTGAGGTGCCTCCGCGCCGACGTTTTACGTTTTGCCGCCAAATTTTGCTGACCTCGGCAGAGCGAAAATCGTCCCTTGAGCGAGGACTGGAGCCAAATCCAAAGAAGAAGCAGAGCGGAGAGAGATAGAGCTGTCTTGTTTTGCAAACCTACCAGCTCATCTTTATTGATCAGACTTGGCAACTACGTTGGGGTGGCACGTGCCTTCGAAATGACATGTACGTATATCCGTGTTTCGCACGTGGGCGAGACTTGATGCGTCGTGGTCGATTTACCTTGGTCGCGTGTCTCGTTACACCTTGGATACTTGACATAAGATCAATGCATATTCAGGCCCAGCTTCACCAACGTCGCTCAACTTTAGGCCTGGTCTACAAGGAGGGTGCTTTCCAGCAAGAGACACAGATTGACGCAGTCTAACAGAGATTTATCTCATCCTTGTCTAGCAACGGCAAACAACAGAGCTAAAACGATTCATTGTGTTACACAGAGTCGTCTGTGTATATGTTGCTGGAGAGCAATCTGAGTTGTTAGAAGTCAAAACTGTATGTCGGTCCTCTTTCTTCCACCCAGAAAGGAAAAGGACCAACATATAGTTCTGACTTTTGACCAACGACTAGCAACTCATTGTAGACCGGGCCTTAAGCTTAGTTTAAGTCATTGTCTCTTAGGTCCGGTTTCATCAAACGGCACTTAACTTTAATCTCAGTTTAATTCACGTTTGTCTCTTTCAAAAGTGACAGTTGGAGAGAGACAAAGAACGAATTAAACTAAGCTTAAAGTTAAGCGACGTTTGGTGAAACTGGGCCTAAGGGACCAGTTGGAAAGACACAAGGGATGAATTAAGCTGAGCTTGAAGTTCAGCAACGTTGATGCAACCGGGCCTTAGGTTGTCTTTTTGCATGGCAGAAAGGGAGATGCAAGGTGCAATAAACCTGGTGAACTAGAATGTGCAAGAAATCTTGTAAACTGCGTTACGCAGCATCGAGGAAGTCCCTTTGTTCCGCTGTATTTCATGCCTTCTCTCATTCCAGCGATCGAAGTGAGGGATTGGACGCCGGAGTACTATGTCGCGAATCAGTCAAACTGCCAGCAGATTCTAGAAGGCTCAGACGTACTGACGGAAATACCTTTGTTGAACGACACTCGGTTGCACGACATCAGAGACAAACAGTTGGTCAGATTCCGAGGGATGATCCAGGATATGTACAACCCTGAGTATTACTTCAAGAAATACGAGGTGAAGAACACGGATACTGGCGAGAGTGACGTTAGATGCGGCATGTACGCGGACACGGCTCGATGTCTGGTAAATTGTCTTTCTTTTCGTTTTTTTTTCATACCTTGAAACCGTCTTACTTGACTCGCTAAATATGTAGTATTCCTGCTGACCACATGAGCGGTGGATACGAAGCGGAGAGTCTATATTAAAAATAGTGTGCAGTTCAGGTGTGGGATGCTATGAGAACAGCTCATCTCATGTATAATACTGCAAACATTATCGCGGAGATGAAATACCGAGCGTTCTTGTGCCGTTGCGTTTATTAATTTTTGTTTTGGTTGCAGCCACACGAAGAGATAGCGTTGTACTCGAACAAGAATGAAAACTCGGAGAGGCAAACTTACATTGTAATCTCTGTACCCGGGTTGAACGACTGGGCGAAGGAAAAGAGCACGAATACCCGGCCGCCTGATGCAGCGGCATGCAGTAGTAGCGTCGGTAAAAGGAGTTTGGATAACGACTCGGAGGAGATGGACTGCTCGGAACCTGTTACGAAAAAGGAGAAAGTCTCGGCGGACAACAATGACGTGGACATGAGCGATGCTCATTGTAGTACGAAAGTTGAAAATGTGTTGTCAGAGGATCACATATTGAACTTTCCGATCCCGATCGATGGGGGAAAAGCTTGTATAATAAAGGTAAATTATACATAGAAAATGTATTTGCAGAAACGTTTGCGTAACTGAGGTTTCTTTCTCACTTGGTGCTTAATGCGCACTTTTCAGGTTTACGACGGGACCATCTTAAAACTGAACCAGGTGATCGATGTGATAGGATTTATATCGTTGGATCCAGCATTGAGTACAATTCACGGTTCAGACGACGAGATGAACGAGGCCGAAATACATACTCATAATCCACCGGCCTCCTTGGTGCCGCGGTTACACGCGGTAAAGATAATTGAGTTCACAATACCAAAAATTGTAAACGCTCCGGAAATTATGTCTAAGGCGCAGCTCATCAGGAGTGATTTGCACATAGTGTTGAGTCAATTGCTGTTTGGAGATAATTTAGCTGCGGATTACCTGATATGTCACCTGCTTTCTACAATGTAAGTGTTGATTCTTTCTTAATACATGTAGAAATGTACACCTGTGCGTATCACTTCGGCAATATATACATATGTATATATATATATATATACACATATATTATCTTTTGTAATATTTTTAGATACATGAGGAGAGATTATTTTTGCCTCGGTACATTTCCGTTGAACATAACAAATTTTCCAGCGAGTAAACTCAAGACCTTCCCGAAGGAGTTTTATAACTTTCTGACATTACTCGTACAGAAAAGCCACTTTTTGGAGATGACTTTGGAAAATTTTAATGAACTGTCTTTGATCCCGAAGTAAGCGTATCTCGTCGAATGCACGTATGTCAATGAATACATTCGAGATTGTTTCTAGGAAGGATTACGAATGTAACAGACTGACAAGTGGAATTCTTCAGCTAAGCAACAATACGCATCTTGTGTTGGACGAGACGAGCTTAACCACTGGTACACTTACTGCAACTGGCAAGGAAAACTATAAAGCTCTTTCGGATCTACTTATGTTTCAAAAACTGACGTACGACTTCAAATATTACACAATAGAATATGAAAAGGACATTCCAATTCTAATCTTTTCTGATGTAAAATCGTTCATTCCTGTGAGTATTCATTTGCAGCATAAAATATCTTTACTTTGTGAATATTAATTAGTGAAGTGTTCATTTATAGTGTCCCATGCAAATTATTTTAAATGTCGATGCGGACTCGGAAAATTTATACAGTCAGGTAGTTAAAGCTGCTCATCAATATTTGGAAGATGAGAATCGCTTGACGAATATTCGTCAGTACATAGAGGCTTTGAGGCACACGGAATTTGTTTTTAACGAAGAAATCACAAAAGTATGTCATGTTTTCTTGACTTTCGACATTAATGTGTTCACCGAGTTTACTTTAGTGCTTTTGCTTTTTGAAAAGAAAAATATATATATTATATATTTGTATGTTCAGATTATCCAAGACGATTTTGTGAAGATGCGCAGTGCAAACAAGAATATAGATGCAGACAATCTACACGCATTGATGGTTTTCGCAAGATTGATGGCCTTGTCTCACGGACAAACGTCGCTGGATGCAGAATGCTGGAAGAAAACTGTGCAATTGGAAATGGAAAGAATGAGTAGGCTGCCACAGCGCGGAAGGTAATCGTTGGGGCCCAGGAAATAATTATAATACCGAGTGTACACCAAATCGTACGATACTATTGCAAATATTTATTTTCTATGTATCATTGTAATTATTTCACTAATGATATAAAAGTTGTATACCATTTTATATATATATATATATATATATATATATATACATTTTTATACTGTTAATTACTCTATGAAACAGGACGGAAGTTTAATATTCACCTTGTATTTACACAAGCAAAGATCATATAGTTATATTTTAGCAAATAAAATTTTACTAATAAGTATCATGCGCTTTATAGAATGTTGCTTGCCATGTATGTACATCGGCTACAATCCATTTCGCAAATTCTAAAGTTCAGACGTACGTCCTTCTTTAACTTATCCGAAATGGAACTAGCGTATACATCAATATATTGTCTCTATTTCTTTGAAAATATTTCCCAGCAGAAATATTCTCAAAAATGTTATTCTTTCCATGTGTTGGATGTGAGACGGTCGTGTACATATACAATACGTAGTGCATGTATGTGCAGAAACCTATTGAACATTGGAAGCTCAAAGCATTTGGAGTAATTCACATATTTTGTAGATTTATTTCTGCGGTAAATTTATTTCTACATGGACAAATATTGGAATAAATACGTTTAAGGAGTCATGTAGCTGTTCGCTAAATAACAATCTAGTTTGTTTCTCGATTGTCACACTTCTTTCTGAAGACTAGTTAAGGAGAGCTCCTTGGTTTAAGAGTCTCATATTCAATACATTTCAATACATACATCTTCAAAAATTAATAAACTTACTATCTCATGTAGGAATACATGTTTTAATAATGCTATATTATTTTTCTCTACACTCGAATAGTCCATTGAAAATTATTTACGTCTGAAAATTAGAAGACACGGCAAAATCTATTACGTACCGCTCGAGATACTGGAGTACAAAAAATAATCCTCATTTTTTTGGAGTAATTTTCTTGATTCAGACGTAAATAATTTTGCAACTAGATTATTCCCTAATATAAATCTTTCATATTTATTTACTACTTTCGGTACTGCCAGAGAAAAGGCACCAAATATTTGCTAAATAAAGACGGAACGTTCGGAACACTTTAAGTACAGCAAAATCTGGCGAAATTTCGGAACTTGTATATCAATGTTTGGAAATAATCCTGTATTATTCTTATAATACTTGTTCTGTTGTATTTGTTATTTTCAACTGTTTCTTTTTCGCAGGTTTCCTCCTCTCTGAATGCATTTTTGTCTCGTTCTGTATGCTGCAGTTAGAAAACATATTCCCACGTCGAATTATGCACGCGTGTGTCCCGTTTCGTCGAGATACGCATTGTCGAGGACTCGCTGAACAGCATCCATATCCTTGGTCCTGCTGAGCCTCTCTTCACGATCCCGGTGGACACCTTCTAATCCTTTCCGGGCGGCTTGAGCGTACCCCTTGGAAAGCGCGACCTCTCCTCTCGCTCCCGGAATGTGGCCCGTGTAACCGACGATCGGCAGTCTTTCTGGGGAGACATGATAATCTGCAACGACAATAATAACGCACAATAGTTGTTACTTTTTAACTTCGGCTTCGGACCTCGGTAGAACTTGAATTTTTTCAGTCAATCATAATCGGGGTGTTCTTGTCACGAGAGAATTTCATCTCTGCATTGAGTCTGGGATGAATCTTTGTTAATCTCTATAATGTACATTGCTTTTAATTTTATATCTTTTATTTTAGCATTTATAACAAAAGAAACGATTGAACGGAAGTGATTAACGAGCAATGGAGCGTGCAAAGTACCGTAGGTCCTTCTGTCTTTGCCATGACCGTGATCGATCTCGATGTCCACATTATCCGCCCTCGCTCGGGATAGAAGATTTCTCGGATCTGTCCGCTCAGCGTGCGCCCTCATCGCGTCCCGTTGCGCTCTCAGCTTCATTTGCGCCTCGTGCCACTCTTTGGCACCGGCTTCTACGGCTTTCATGAAGGACAGGCCGAAACTGCTGTTGAAGCCAGGAATATATCCTGTGTATCAATAACAATCAAGTTAATGTCAAATATAAGTCTCCGCGGATAAAAAGGCATCGTATAATAAGCGCCAAATTCTAATATACTAATTTGGTCTTTATATTATAATAGTATTGTACCTTTTAAATAGTTATATAATAGTATAATTATAATAATACTTGGTATCCGTGTATTCTTATAGTATAATCTTCGTATTAATATCTCGAGACGAGAAAGGATTTTTTTTCTTAAATTATTAAGTATTTACCAAGTTAATCCTGCAAGTGGTCATAAACAATACTTTTAATTAAAACATTCTAATGCATTTTCCGTCACTTAATATTTTATCATTGATCGTTTTTATGCAGCTTACGCGTTGGATTAATTTTATATCGAATCTTATCAGATAATTGCAACTTCGTACAGAACTGACGAAATTTTAATTTTTAATTAATAAGTGAAGAGAATGAAGTTAAATCACGCATACTTTTATAATAATTTAATCGAATATTTCGCGCGATTTATATTCTTGTTTTGTTGTAATAATTATAATTATTTCTCACAATTAGTCGCGGATGCGTCTAGCGTCGCATTTTGAATGTCCCGCCGAAACAAATGAAATTCGCTTACTATTACACTGACTGCAGGGATCAAGTCAGATGAAATGAAGCGCAAGAGGATCCGATGTGCCGACCGTTTATTAATAATACGAGCATTTGTCATCGGCATTAATTACGCAAAATTTACGCGCGTGCAACACCGGCTCTCGATCGCGTCTTCAACACCAGCTCTCGATCGCGCGTATTCACGCGGTCCGTCGCAATTAGTCGCGAACCGACTCGCGTCGTGTCGTGTATGGAAATTACCCGGAGACGCTTTCAAAATTTCCAGGAATCGGAGGTAGCGTCGCGTCGCGGAGTTCGTGGATGCCGGGCGGATCGGAGGCGGCTTAAACGAGTCTCGCGAGACGTTTGGTAAGTGAGTGCGGCCGCGATTGACCCGATCGTGGCGAACCGCGCGGCGAGAGGACGGCGTTCGTCGCAACGGCGGCCCAGCAGGACGCGAGTGTCGCGAGATTCCTTCGATCGAATAGATCGATCGACGGAGCAACGCCATGTTTTTTTTGCACGGCTCTCGCGGATGCGTCCGATTCTTGTACGTGTCTACGCGTTTGTTACGACGTATCGTGATCGGTTCGCCGCAACGAGAGGCGGCGATCATTCCGAGAAACGCGATTACGCACCCCGGAATTGCGGGAATGCAGGCGCCGGTCCCGTGCACCCCCCCCCCCCCCCCCTACCGTCTTCCTCTCGTCACGTAGTCGAAGTAAGGCTGATGGCAGACAACTATCCGTAAGCTTAAGACTGACGTATAGCCGTAGACTTCCCAGTGAGAAATGATCCGTCGATCGACGTCGAAACGATGTCGAATCGACGTCAATTCGACGGCGTCGATGTCGATTCGGTGTCGTTTCGACGTCGATCGACGAATCATTTCTCACTGGGTTAAGGTAAGGCAGAGAAAAACGTAAGCCGTAAGGAACACGTGTTCTACGGCTTACGTTTTTCTCTGCCTTACCTTAAGTCTACGGCTACGTCAGTCTTAAGCTCTTACGGATAGTTGTCCTGCCATCAGCCTAAGGCTGATGGCAGAGAACAATCCGTAAACGCTTAAAGCCCGCATCAGACTACAGACTCCCGACTCCGACTCGACTACTGACTCGCGGACTCCCGACTATGATTCAATCAATCACAGCAAAGCACCGGCCGACCCTGACTGCCGACTC